CGAACAGCGGATTGCATCATCATCATCATCGGCAGGACTTCAGGCCATGGCGGCAGCGGAGCGGACGATCGATGGAGCGGTCGGACGGCGACTGAGGCGAAGACTGAGCGAAGACTGAGCCAGATGGAACGCGAGGGCTCTTTATATAGGGCTGCCGGCGTGGGAACGGTACCGCAGGGCACAGGCGGCATGAGAAAGTACCGTAACCCGTGAGAGCGCGCTGATCGATAGGCGCGCTGGCCACGCAAGGGGATTTGAACCGGTGCAGGACGTCGGCCCAATGCATCCCAGCTTGCTGGCGATCCAGACCGGAAGGTATCGTCGTCGGTCGAAGGAGTCCTGGGAATGGAAGTCGTGCGTGAGTCACGACACTTGTATTGATTTGTTTTTATTGTTTATTCTTATTTCATTATTTTCAATATAATTTTTATTATATATTTATTATTATAATAATTATTTTTGTTAATTTTATTTTCCGTCTGGGTCCCCAAAACGGCGGAGACCCCACTTTTCTTCCCACCCCCCCCCCTCCCGCCCACTTTCTGCGTCCGCCACTGGCGTCTTGGACAACCTTAAAGGCACCGTCCTACCTCAAATTAGTTTTTTTTAAAGATTTTTATGTGAAAAGAATCTACAGGAGCTGATGATCACAACGGTATATGGGATTCCATGCAAAACTGCCAAAAAACCCCGATCCCGAGCCCCAATTTTTGTGGAGCCCGTGGGCTGAGCCAAGAAGTGATTGCAGGATATCCGGACCGTGAACTCCTTGGCTAGTCACACATGGTTTTTAGTTTCTACTCTTCGCAGTTTCTACTCTGTTAGGGATTCGATGAGGAACTCTCACGAGGAACACGAATTTCCTTAGAAGGTCCGCTTCCCGGAGTGAATTTCGGGAAGCTAGTTGGCTCCGCCCACGGGCTCCTCAAAAATTGGGGCTCGGAATCAGGATTTTTCGATAGTTTTGCATGGAATCACGTATACCGCTGTGATCACCAGCTCCTGGAGATTCTTTTCACATAAATCTTAAAAATGAATTTGAGATAGGACGGTGCCTTCAAAAGTCTTTATGAACTCTGCTGTGACTCATTTTTTGGGAAGTGAGAGGATGTAAGGTTGGTAACGCTTTGAACATACCATCCGAATCAGCTATTCAGTTATGTATTCAGAATATTCAGAATATGTTGGAATCCAGAAGGGAATGTTCCGTGAAGTCCCCTCCCCCCATCCCTCTCAGTCAGTCTCGCTACCACCCGCTTGCACCCGGTCCCCTGTTTGCCACTCTTGCCCCGTTATCTTTTCTAGCCCATCTCATATGAACTTACCTTACCTTCCTTCGTCACCAATGTACCCTACTCTTCTCACCCTTCCCGACAACATTACCACTCCACGGTGTACTTGGTGCCGTCTTGTTACCCCTTCCTTGATAATTTTCCATGAGTGACTGCCAAATAACCTCCATTTTACGGGCCTACAGAGCTAACCCTCTACATCTGATGGGGGATTCTTTTTTTTTCAAACGAATTGACCTCAAAATCATGGCGCTCCCAGACTCTGGGCCCATGCCATGGTTCTAGGGACCTACAAACACTTCCCACTTGTGCTACTTCACTAATAACTTCCCACTCTTGCTCTGACGACAGCCTAGAACAAGACCTACTTGAGGCTAGGGTTCAGAGCGAAGTCAGACGGCATGAAACTGAGCTGAGTGGACATAACGTTCGAGTAGGGCTGTGTTTCTTGCACTTCTAGGCTGGCCTTCGGGCTGTCGTGGATGCCTTGCACAGTGAGTTTCGTCTTGTCCTCCTTGCTCTTCTCCGACTCTTCCACGGCTGTTTTTACTTCTGACGTCTCTTTCAGTGGCTCCTTCAACATCGTTTGATTTCATAGAAAAGCAAAATTTTATGAATTTCTGAAAAAAAAGTAACGTACCAGTTCTCGGGCAGTTTTGGCTTCAGGCTGAAAAGGAGGAAGTCTCGGTGGCGTAGTCAAAATTTGCTAACGCGAAAACGACATGTTGCAGTGGCTTGTTTGTTTACTTGTTTGTTTATTGTCGTGGTTGCTGTCAATCAGCCAATTTATTTCCATCACCCAGAACCGCTCTCCTCATTCAAAATGGATTAAAATGAGTGGGCGACAGTAGTAGTGCGAAAAATACGTATTGATCGTCGCGCCCTAACGCCCGCGTTCTTGATATTCGCAAAATCACGTACCGTGTCAACCATGTTAGGTTTTTCTCTTCGGCAGCAACCAATAAATCCAGACCATAGTGCAATAGTGAACACTAACATTAAATAGGTAAGGGATTCTGAAATGTGGTCGACGATTAGGTAAATGGATTACTAATAACCTCGTCTGAGGTCCTGGATAAGGATTGTTTCCTTTAATAACACTTTTTTTCTGGGATTTTTTCATGCATACGTGTGAAAAATTACTGGAGAAATCGCTATGGCCAGCAGTAGCCTCTCATCCAAGACTATGTGCCCAGGAAATATAGTCGTGGCGGAAGTGCATCTGGATTAATTTCGCCCAGATTCCTGGTTTTTTATTCCCTCAGTTGGGCAGCGTGGTGTTAGCAGGCTCTGGAACTTGTTAAATATTCAAAAATTCACCAAGTATCTGTGAAAACAGGGTGATAACGGTCATCATGTCGATGAGTTCACCCTGAGCGAGTTTTCGGAGTGGGTGAGTGAAGTGAAATGAGCCCTACCAGTTGTTTACAGCTGAAGAAAGAGTGATAAACAAGATTATAGGGGAAGTAAACAGTTCAACATTCATTTTCTAAGGAAACTTGGAGAAAATTCCATAGAGGGGACTTTCGTGTGGGAGAATACTGCAAGTTTGTCGCAAACTCTATGCAAAACAGAAATTTCCCCAGTTCTGAGCAAATTCTCTGCTTTTGCAAGGTATTTAGCTGAGTATTATGGGTAGAAAACATCTAGTTGAGTTGTAGTGGATAAATGCAAAACATTTGCACGGAGTGGGATTTGAACCCACGCACCCTTACGAGTACCAGAATGCCCAACTACACCGCTACGCTCGCGGTAAGCGTATGCTTGAGTCTGGCGCCTTAGACCACTCGGCCATCCGTGCACACCGCTGGCGCTCGACAACCGCCACATCAACGCCGGCCGGGGAAATCAATGCGCTGTTGTACTATTCGAAACAGTGGTAATAGATGCTGTAACATCTATGGAAACCAATTTAAATAGGAGGTAAAGAGTCTTTTAAGGGTACTTAGTCGGAAATGCTGCGATTTCTATGGGATTTCACTGTAATTTCCGGAGAAATTCACGGAAAAGGCTAGAAATTTATTTTTCCGATGGAAAACTCAATCTTTTTTTTTAATTTCGCTTTTTTGGGCGCCTTTGAATATCTTGTTTGCTGTACAGAAGTATCCTTCTGATGCTTTTTACTGAGTGTTACCTTAAAGAGAAATTTTGTCTTTACAGTGTTACTCAGCCAACAAATACCTCTACTTTCAGCAGTACTGTACACTACTTTTGTAGAACTGAGGCTGGAATAGCTGAGAAAGGTGGTCCAGACAGGCTCTATTTGGTCAACAGTTGTTCAACTTCACTAGATGACCTACAATTTTTTAGAAAAGTGTTCTTGGTTACTATAGGTCCAAAATATTCTTAGAAATAACCCAAGCAAAGCAACTATAACCAGATTTTCAATATGGGAGGAGCGTAGCTAGTGCTCTACCAGATTTGACCCCTTCTATGATCTACTGATTGGTCCAGCGATCAATTTGTGGGAGCAGCAAACGGCACATCGTGCCACCGCACGATTTCTTTTGTGTTATAAGACCTTATTTTCTACTAGTTTTCCAGTCGAAAGTCACTGAACTTTCCAGAATTCATTTTTATAGTATACTTGGGACCGAATAAAAATCGAATAATTCTGTCACTTTGATTAACATTACCATTTAAACATCTAGATATTCCCGAAAGCTCTGAAGCTCTCCTTCCCCTTCAATACAGCGCTGTATTGGACTCCAGCACTCGAATTTTCCATTTATTCGAATTCGAATGTTCTTGCTTCCGAATATCGAATGTTCAGAATGAATGGAAAATTCGAATGTTCCTACATCACGGACAGACCAATATAGCGCCGTATGAGAGAGAAGAAGAGCCTTAGGGTTTCTTATTTTCGAATATCTGAATGTTTAAATTTCTTCCTGAGTTGTTAGTCAAGGTAACAAAGTTATTCGGTTTTTATTCGGTCCCAAGCATACTCTAGTACAGTGCATGTTAGCTTTCGGTGTCTTGTAAAATCCTTAGATATATGTCTTGTAAAATCCTTAGACATAATCTCAGAAGTTTTATACGGGCGAAAGGATTTTGTTCCTCTAGCACATCTTATCTGTTTCATTCTTAGGTCGTTTGTGTTCTGCCAGTGGCAAACCATAAAACGCATCACATGGTGCTAAGGTCAGATAATCACGATATCCGCTTCGTCGTCGGGTTTTCCTCTCTCTTAGCCTGTTTGTCGCATTTTTGTTCTTGTTCCTTCAACCATTAGTTGACAATTACCTGCTTAGGATTTTTATGTTGTTATTTTCAGAAAAAAAAAAGAATTTGTGCCGGGCCCGTGCGAATGTACTACCTCCGTCCGAGATTGCGAGAAAAGAGATCCAGAAAACCTCAGCTGCCTATAGAAAATTTTTCATGTGAATGAGCCCGGTGCTACATATTATTTCAGTCAGACGCACGCACTTACGGAAATCAGTTATGTAAACTAACCAACGGCAGGACGTCTTGTCTCATTGTACTGTTCCCATAATTGCTATTTTTATATGTGTAGTGCATCATTTGCGGGCACAGGGGGGAGAGGGTCCCGAAAGTGGGACGTGGAATTTTTCAAAAATACTTTCTACAATAAAAAGTAGAAATCATGTGTTAGCTTGTATTTAATAGAGATATTTACTTCTAATTATTCGATATTAGAATTGAAATTTTCAGTAGTTCTATTCTTCCATGTGTACGCAATGTATCAGAGACCCCAGTTTTTTACCACCCTCCCCCCCACCCACCTTTCCCCTGCTGGGTAGCTCTACGTGTACCACTTGTGCACCTATACAATATTTGTTGTTCCTAATCATTTCCTATTTAGTTGTTGTGGCTATATTTTCCTCGTATTCCTATTTGTTGCTATTTCATTCGGTTTGACCATATTATACCTGCAAGGGTCAGCTAGAGTGCTGGAAAACTCAGACTAACATTTTTGAAGCAATATTGGTGTCTGTAAAACTTGCTCTTCTTGTTTTTACTAAAATGAGCCTCAAAATAGAAATTTGAATTTGTTTTGGACGAGTTTCTTTCTTATTTTAATCGAATCACTCGTTAGAATTTTGTGCTACATCCTCGTAAATCTCATCGCTGTATCGCTGACGTGCTCACAGCTGAGCGTCGCAATCAATGGATCAAGAGACCAACGTCCATCTTTTATCTGATTTCTAGAATACCACCCATGTAACCGCAATCGACATGGCATCTACGCCATCTCTGAACCTTTGGAACCCTACCCCATAGATTCTCAATGTGACTTTCTTTGCTGTCTTATTTATTTCCAACCATATTTCCTTGAAACCGCTTTCTGAATCCCATTGCGGAATTTCCTGGTTTGGATGCACTGTAGCATTTTCAGGAATTTCAGGAACAGTGTGTGATTTGCTCCTGCACAGACTTCATCCCTGCAGTTCAGGATGTGCGGCATCATGGGGATGGTGCAGGCAGAAGGTGTTGAAGTGGACGGTGCACTTCCCATACTAGCAGCAGATGGACTGACGGCGCTTCAACACAGGTACTGTATTGCAAGGAACTTCGATAACAATTGCGTCCCTGCGCTGGTCTGCCGCACCGCACCACCCACGCGGCGCAGTCGCAGCGTCAATCACAAGAATGCTGCGCTGCGAAGGTGGTGCGACGCGGCAGGGGCCCGCAATTGCACAAGTTGTAAGAATTGAAAAAAAAACGAATATTTTGTCAGTGGAAAACTATTACTAGTCAGATAGAAAGAATAATTTCGTTAGGTTTTGGCTCAAAAAGAGCGAATTTAATTTTCCGGGTTGAGCTTTCCCAAATAAGCCTGAGTGAACCCTTTTCTATGTTCTTCTGTCACCTTGCTATGAGATGCATTCAAAAATTCGCTGTCTTCTGGTTATACTGCTAATTTTTCGGAATTTTCGGTCAATTTACAAGAATTTTTCTTTACATTAGTTTTAACGAAAGAAGGGTATCGGGAAGACTCAGAGCAGGCGCATAACCTGTCCGCGAGTCGCGACGTAGTGATTGCCTTGATCGGCTTTTGCTGACTATTTGTTGCGTCATTTTATACATCTTTTTAAAGTATACATACATTTTATGTGTCTATTTTGTCTACATTGTATATATATTATTTTATTACATTATTATACATATATTATTGTTCTAGAGGAACAGAATCAGCCGGACTGGTAGGCTCAAACGGTGTCGACCGAGACCACCTTGAGATCATCAAAGGCCACGGCTTGGTCCGAGATGTATTTCTGGAGGAGAATCTAAGCAAATTGAATGGTGAATCTGATAAAATTCTTCGTTTTTCCTAGATCTTCCGAGAGAATTCACGAAATTTCCGGAAAAACAGGGTGCATCCTGAAGCGTCTAGCTGTTCTTCCAGGTTCCAGAATCATCATCGGCCATAACCGATATTCTACTGCTGGAGGGAAGCGAAAGGCGATCAACTGTGTGCAGCCGTTTGTCGTCTATACTGCGATAGGAACAGTTGCCATTTCCCATAACGGAGAGTTGGTGGATGCGAAGAAGAAAAGGAAGGAGGTGGGTGAAAAAATCTCTATCTTCTTGAAAATGTGATTTTCGCGGGCTTCTAATGAAAAATATACGCAAAAGCCATTTTTCGCTTGTGTTTAATAGTGAAAACATTGCATAGGTATTGATCGAAATCGCATGAATTTTGTTATCAACTTTGAGCAATAAGGAAACTCTCCAAAGGAAAGATTCGGTGATCTTTTGTGCCATATGGTAAAAAGGCGAGAACTGTTCCCCGATGGCGTTTACAAGCGAATAGAGAGGGAAAGAAGCTAATTCTTGTGAATCACAGAACATAAGAGGGTGCAGGTGGCGAGAGGACACGCCCACTTAACGATCCAGTAAGAAGGTACATCCACAGCTGCGATAACCATAGGAATATCTTCGACAACCTACACAGCCCCCAAAAGTGATACACTCGCGGAAAAAATTATCTGCCAAACTAGCGACGTCACCTCATTGATTTATTGATTTTATCGATTTTAGGCATTGCATCAAGGCGTCGGGCTCTCCACAGACACCGACTCTGAATTAATCGCCCAAATGGTTGCGAAGGCGATAGCGTTGAACTACAAGTGTCGAAATGATGAAAACTGGGGTGATATCTCTAAGGTAATCGATATTTTCTCTAAGCAATCGATATTCACACTCTCCTGCATGGTACAGCTCTTTCCTCTGCGTCTCTGACCAGATTTTTTTTCTAAAATAGGCGGATTTGTTGTGAATTCCTTACATAACCGTCATAATTGTCACCGTTCCACGTTACTTTATGCCGTAGTTCTGATGTCAGATCATGTCAGATGATGTCTTCAGGAACTTGCCGTGACAATGTCAGCAATCAATATGTCATACTCGTTACTAGTAATGACGTATGATCGCCTATATGCTATACGAGACCCATACGGAAACAGGCCACTCTGCGTTGGAACCATCTATGACGCAGAACGTGAGTTTTGTAGCTGTCCCAGAAGTTGTGGACCAATCGATAATTTATGGAAATTTCCAGAAGCTGATCCGACACCTGTGGCGTATTGCGCGGCGTCGGAGTCGTGTGCACTCCCTGGGACGGCAAAGTTGAATTTCGAGGTTGAACCAGGGGAGATTGTTGAGATCTCACGGAAGGGAATACGATCGGTGTTTCAGGTGAGGTGTCCCAAAAGTCGGGCATGGGTCAATGATTTTTTAACCATGCACAACTTTTGAGACAATATAAATTTTTGTGAAGGGCTCCAGAGAATCGTATCCCATTGAAGTTAATATAATACCAAGCTTGGAACCTTT